TATAACCCCGCTATCATTTTTCATTCACAACATATCATTTCTCATTTTTCAGTTCTCATATCATGCATACTTTTAATGGGGTTATATTTCACGTCATTTATCGTGATTTCATGTCATTCATATCATGCTGTATACATACAATTTAGGAGACATAACATAACATTTCATGCTTTTAACATAACAATTTTCAACATGCACGTGTCATATCATATTGTATTTTATAACAATCACATAACATATTCCTAATACATCACTTCACATTATGTCATATCATAAACGTATCAATAATCACATATTTTGTATCGTAACCTATATCATATCATCTTCATACCATTTTTCTACATATTTATATATGTATCCGTCATTTCGATATCCGTTCATAATCATATCATTTCATAAACATTTCGTGTTGTATCGTTCCCTAACTTATCATAGCCTTAACGTTTTTATACATATTACAGTGATATTATTACGTGAACGCACCTTAGCCATATCGTTACATGAACGTATCCTAACGCTATCGTTTTATCAATCTATCATAATCTTATCCCTTTCTACATATATAACCTAACCATATTCTTTTATCAATCGATCGTGACCATATCATTTTCTATACATAACTTAACCATATCATTATATTAATCATTCTTTAACTATAGCGTTTTTTATACATAACCTTATAATCTTATCCGTATCGTATTATCAATCTCTCATATCCATAGCACTTCAATACGTAACCTAACCTTAATGTTTCACGAATATATCTTTCTCTTATTACATTATGTTTAGTGCATCATTCTCGTATCCTTTCTCAAACATATCCTTGAACACATCGTACCGTAAGTATTATCATACAATTCACATGTCAAACACATACATACCCTAATAAGCATCAATCCATAAACAATTCACATATATCAATATATATGACACATGTAGAACCACAGGACACGTGTCAACATTAAATATAACCACGCCGATAGCAAGACCACTTATTTGGTTGACCTTAGCTAAAGTTCTATCTAACTCCAAATTAGCTTGCTTTCGTATATGCTAAGACGCTTCACCCTATTAAAGATGTTTACCAAATTTGTTCAGTAATTTTAATTCCTAAATTTTGTTAAGTATTTAAAAAATTATTAATCTTTACCTTTAGATTTAATATTTCTTGGAATATGAATACGTCTAAACCATACCTATTAGATACTTTAATTTCATAATATATTTAAAAATGAATTTATAAGTGAGAATATATGTTTGTTATTATATTCACAATTCATTATTAGTTGTGATTTTTTAAAAATTAAATTACAATAAAAGAAGAGGAAGATTTAATATATACATTACCAAACAGACGAGATCTGTAATGAATCAAAGATTAAAAAAAAAAAAAATTGTGAGGTCACGAAAATTCTAGTGACGGCAGGAATTTTTGGATCTCACAACCACGATGTAAAGGCCAGATTCACCGCTAGTAGATATTGTCATCTTTAGGCTTTTCACTCTATGCTTCCCCTTAAGACTTTAAAACGCGAGAGGAAACATTTTCACACCCTTATAAAGGTGTTTCGTTTTCCTCCCCGACCAATGTGGGACATCACAATCCACCCCCCTTTGGGGCCCAGCTTCCTCGCTAGCACACTGACTCGTGTCTACCCCCTTCGGGGAACAACGAGAAAGTTGGCACATCGTCCGATGTCTGGCTCTGATACCATTTGTAACGGCCCAGATCCACCGCTAGCAGATATTGTTCTCTTTGGACTTTTCCTTTTGTGCTGGCGAGGTTTGTCTTCGTCAATCAAACATCACTTGTGTAGAAACAAACCTTGCCTAAGGTCCGACGAAGCCACAAAGTCGGGGCTAAAAATATATATGGGGCTTAATTTCTCTTAAGGCTAGTCGTGAGCGTGTCAAGATCACGATGCCGCATGGTAAAAAATGTAGGACCGTGATAGTTGGTATCAGAGTGTAGGCTTGCTTTGTGAGCACTCTAATTTCTTCAAAGTAGCAGCACCGAAGGCATGACCCGGCCAGTTAAGGTCAGGAGCGCATCACCGACAGAAGGGACGAGCCAATCGGTTCTCACCTTAGACGAACCGATCGACCCAACCCAAGGTCCAACTACGAGCTTTTTAACTACAACAACTTAAATATACGCTATTGGAGTTGGAATTACTGCGACTGCTGCCATCAGACTTGCCCTCCAATTTATCCTCGTTAAGGGATTTAAATTGTACTCATTCCAATTACCAGACTTGAAGAGCCCGGTATTGTTATTTATTGTTACTACCTCCCCGTGTCAGGATTGGGTAATTTGCGCGCCTGTTGCCTTCCTTGGATGCGGTGTCGTAGCTTTGTTGGCCAAGAGCATGAACTGATAGTTAGTTTCACTCTCTGTATTGGATAATATCATATCATTGTAAGAGTCATGTTAGATAAAACCTCGATTTTTTCAGTTGTTTCTTATTTAGTTTTTTTTCAGTTAGATTCACACGATTTGAGAATACCTCTGTTTCACTATTTGACAAAACACGTCGAATGGATCACCAAAGTTTAGACGTCAATTTTGTAGGGAGGGGTACAAATTTAGTTGGCCCAGGCATTTATAGGATAGTTTATATTTAAATAGGAAATCTGTTGAGAATATCGAATAACCTGATTACCAAAGTTTTAGAGGTCAATTTTGTAGGGAGGGATACAAATTTAGTTGCCCCACGCATTTATAGGATAGTTTATATTTAAATAGGAAATCTGTTGAGAATATGGAATAACCTGATTTTGCAGAGCAGTCAAAATTTCAGTCCTTCTCTCTCTTCTATTTTAAGAATTTTATTTTTCTTCTAACAACACCGAATTTCTCTCGTTGATTATCGAAAAACAACAAGTGGGATTAGAGCCAGGTTGAAGCCATCGATGTATATCATTGCGGAGGAGCCAATCTATCAATAAACAAGTTGAATAGCTCAAGTGGTTAGAGCGTCAACCAAACAACACACAGGTCTTAGGTTTGAGTAGAAGAAAATGCGAAGTGTAAAAACACAGTCTCACTCACTCCTCCATGTCTATAACGACAACTTATAGGCGCAAGGGTTATGACATTGTTGCATGCCCAGAGGAAGGATAAACGATTGAGTACTTGAGGATTGCTGCTGCTGCCATATTTACGAACTAGCTTTTGTTATGACATTGTTGCATGCCCAGAGGAAGGATAAACGATTGAGTACTTGAGGATTGCTGCTGCTGCCATATTTACGAACTAGCTTTTTCGTTATCCTTTCTTTACAGTTAAAGAAGAAATTGAGTGTGGGGATCCAACATCGACCAACTGCGGAAGGAGCTCTCGGAGATCTACTTTAAGGACGACAAATTCGTCGATGATTTTTCAATGCGGATTACGGGGCTCGTCAACAGCATCACCACACTTGGTGGCAGCATCTCACTGAGAAGGGGAATGTCTTGCACGCCTAAAAGGCCCATGTGGCTCAATCCGAGGAGGACGAGCCAGCTCTCTTCATGGTAAGTGCATGTGTCCCCATTGTCGATTCCAAATCCACGGAGATGGAGGTAATCGACGACGATGTTGAACTCGAGAAAGAGCTCCAGCTGGGCGTAGCAAATGTGGCACCAGCTAAGGAGCCAATTCAACTGGAGGAGGATCCTAGACACAGGGGCAAAAAATCATATGACCGGGGCTAGATCTGCGTTCTCCGAGCTCGACTCGGGGATCCGCGGGACAGTGAAATTCGGCGACGGCTCCGTTGTCAAGATCGAAGGACGCGGCACCATCCTGTTCGCCAGCAAGGGAGACGAGCATTGCAAGCTGACCGACGTCTACTTCATCCTGAGGCTCAAGGCTAACCTTGTGAGCCTGGAAAAGCTACAAAAGGAGGAGTTGTTGCACGATTTGCCAGCAATCAAAGGCGTGAACAAGCTGTGCGACGGGTGCCTCATTGGCAAACAGAGGCGCACACCCTTTCCGTCTCGAACATTCTACCGAGCCGATGAGCCGTTGGAGCTTGTACACAGCGATATCTGCGGGCCCGTCAAGCAGGCGACTCTAGGCGGTAAGAGTCTCTTCCTCCTGTTAGTCGATGACAAAAGCCACTTCATGTGGCTGACCCTGCTGCAAGCGAAAAGTGAGGCGGCAGAGGCGGTTAAGTGCATTAAAGCGCGAGCGGAGGCCGAATGTAAGAAGAAGATGCGAGTGCTGCGCACAGATCGAGGCAGAGAGTTCACCTCGGCAAGTTTCGGTAAGTACTGTGACGAGATCGACATACAACGACACCTAACGACGCCTTACTCCCTCCAACAGAACGGAGTGGTGGAGCGCCAAAATCAGACCATCGTCGGAACAGCGAGGTCATTGTTGGTGACGGCCGGGATGCCTGGGAGATTCTGGGGAGAGGCAGTAATGACGGCCGTCTATCTCCTCAATCGGTCACCAACTCGAATCCTTGACGGAAAGTCGTTACCACTTGTAACGACCCAGATCCACCGCTAGCAGATATTGTTCTCTTTGGACTTTTCCTTTTGGGCTGGCGAGGTTTGTCTTCGTCAATAAAACATCACTTGTGTAGAAACAAACCTTGCCTAAGATCCGACGAAGCCACAAAGCTGGGGCTAAAAATATATATGGGGCTTAATTCCTTTTAAGGCTAGTCGTGAGCGTGTCAAGATCACGATGCCGCATGGTAAAAAATGTAGGACCGTGATAGTTGGTATCAGAGTGTAGGCTTGCTTTGTGAGCACTCTAATTTCTTCAAAGTAACAGCACCGAAGGCATGACCCGGCCAGTTAAGGCCAGGAGCTCATCACCGACAGAAGGGACGAGCCAATCGGTGCTCACTATAGACGAACCGATCGACCCAACCCAAGGTCCAACTACGAGCTTTTTAACTGCAAGAACTTAAATATACGCTATTGGAGTTGGAATTATTGCGACTGTTGCCATCAGACTTGCCCTCCAATTTATCCTCGTTAAGGGATTTAAATTGTACTCATTCCAATTACCAGACTCGAAGAGCCCGGTATTGTTATTTATTGTCACTACCTCCCCGTGTCAGGATTGGGTAATTTGCGCGCCTGTTGCCTTCCTTGGATGCGGTGTCGTAGCTTTGCTGGCCAAGAGCATGAACTGATAGTTAGTTTCACTCTCTGTATTGGATAATATCATATCATTGTCAAGAGTCATGAATCTTAACCAATGGCATATTCTCAAATCATTACCTATAAGAAGACAATTTTAGAGTTAGTGGAAGCTCAAAAGTAAAAACCGAAAGAGAGCCGTGGATCTGAGCGGTTACACATGACCTTGGTAGACTGCCCCCAGACGCGCCCCCTCCTTCCTCCAGACTTCAGCATCGCCTCGAACACGTGCGCAGAGGAAGAAAAGAGCAGAAAAATCGAGAGAGAGAGAGAAAAAACCTTGAGTTTTCCGATGAGAAATCGACGAGAGACCCACAAATGAAACCTCAACTCCGACTACTAAACCGACCAACCAACACCGCAAAAGTGACCACCGCTTAATACACAACCACACAGAGCAAGTATATGTCGTGAATCGCCGTTGCCACCGTCGGAAAAGGAGAGAGAAAATTAGGTGAAGAAGACGAGTCCATCTAACCCGGATTTGGGTCGGACCCATCTATGACCCGAGGCCCATCACGGATCAAACCAACTTGCAGTGGCCTAATCACCTCGGCCCAATAGCCCAGCCTACAACCAAAGCCCGCGACCCGCTTTACAATTCGAAAACTCGAGAACAAACCCAGCCTGCAGATCTGAGGCCCATGTCCCCTCGACCCAGCCAATCCAGCCTACAGCCCAGCCCGCGATCCGAAGCCCAGCGAACCACTTGCAGCCAACAACCCGCGAGCCAACTCGAGCCGACCTTGGACCCGCACCTCGACCTGAAGCGTCGCGCAACGTGGCTCGTCCGGCTTTTTCCACGTGTCACCAAACGGTGCGAGCATCCCTTCGGCTCGGCTTGGCTTGGCAGTGTAGAGGTGGCTCCGACGGCAATTCGGGTAGGCTTTCAATTTCTGACCTGGTTTCCACTGTTGGAACAACTCTCCCAGACCTATTTTTGGCCCTGGTTAAGGTAATTGAGGCCGTTATAGAGTCATATTTCATATTGTTATTTTGATTAAAATTAAAATGAAAAATACTGAAGGAAGGTGACAAACGGTGCGATAGGAAGTGAACCCTGACAACATTTGAAGCATCTCTCAAGGAACAGGAGCTTACGTTTAGCTAATTAGGGAGTAATTTGGCCAAGGCCAACAAAATAAATGGCCTTACTATAGGATATGCAAGAATTATTTGCATTACAATTTTATTTACGAGTATGATGATGTATGAGTATGATGATGTGTGATGTTTCTGACGATGTGTGAGTATGATGATGTATGATGTCTATGACGATGTATGAGTATGATGCTTGAGTTGTGATGCATGTTATATGTACGTGATTTATGTTTCGATGCACGACATACATATTATATTTGATGCCCTTGATGGCTTATCTATGAGTACGATGTTGCATGACATTTTCCTTAATATGATGATGTTTTTCATATTGAGCATGCTATGTGATGATGATTGCCATACTGCATCATGTCGTTAGATCGACCTAGAACACAACCCTAAGTGCATGAAAATGATATTAATATAAATATCCACGAGCATGTGTTACCTAGAGTAACAAAGATATGAGACTAGAGGGTTGTATCAGAAGAGACGTTATGATGGGATTTAGAAGGATCTCATGCATGTTGTATGTTCATAAGCATAGGACAACTTCCCCTAAAGATGATGAGTGCGGACACACACAATATGATGATGAATGCGAATGCGCACAATATGATGATGAGGGTGTTCATGAGGCGTATGACACTATGGGATTCCAGTGACCTCCGAACGTGGCTACAAATTAGCTTGATCAGAGGGTTCAGGGGGTGTGCGAGCGCCCTGGAGATTCACACTCACACGTGTGGGTTGTATTTGCATTTGCATGGCGTTCTATAGTCGGGACACTTATTGAGTATTTTTCAAAATACTCAGATCATGTGCCATATCATTTTTCAGGTAAAGGCAAGACGCACTTATACGGATGACGGCGGCATCGAGAACAGAGACTGTGCCACGTGCATAGGGTAGAGTCATTTAAATTCATAGTCTTAGGTTATAATAGGTTGTTTTGCATTTCATCGTTTTAAATTATTTTGTATTTGTTTTTATTTTCTCTAAATTTCATAATTTTGTATTTCAAACACGTAAGACCATGACTATCTTTTCTAGAGAAGATGATGTTTTAAATATTTTCGACATTTTTACTATAGATGATGTTTTCTTTTAAATGTTATATTTCCGCATTAGAGAAGAGCATGAGACGTTAGTAGTGACTCTGAGTAGGTGGAAAATTAGGATTGTTATAAGATCCATTTGTCTACAACGATGCCATTTTCATTTTCTCAAATCTTACGTTTTTGTTTTTTATATTTCATTTTGTTTTTATTCGTTTTAAAATTTGTCCTAATTGCCCCCATAATTCTATTAACTTTTCGGCTGGTATTTACTTGTCGTTATCTTTAAAAATAAGCCATCATTTTTTCTTTTATCGATTTAGGTTACGAGCACATGCCTAGGTTACGAGCATAGCAACTGTTGAGATCAAAACATATACTTAGACTATTGTTGGGTCAAAAAATGCATACACATACAACTATGATTTTATGTTAAATGAGGCCTAAAACATGTCTACCGAAAGAAATTAACTCTTTATCTTTATAGAAGAAGTATTGAGTCAATTTGAATTTATTACTAATTAAAATAGAGTATTGAACAAGAGACAAAAATTAAAACCGTCGTTCACGATCCTAAGGTGCTCACTTTATTGGAGATGTCTTGACCTAAGCCATCATCTGACCAGAACACATAGTCAAACACCTGGAGCTAATTCATACTGTATCATGCACACATACAAGAAAACCAGCTCAATAAGGAGGTAACATTCATCAATCGTCGGGAGCACGAATCACAATACCTCATCCTCCTTTTTAACACAATGGAAAGTATATAAAACAACATTTATCACAAATCTCATCATAGGGGCATTTTGGCAATTTCCTACATCATGAATAACGTACTCATTCATATTGCCCAAGTGTATTTAGTTATGCATATTATCTTTCTAGCTTAGCATAATACATAACACAACATGTTTAGGGTTTAGGGTTTAGGGGCATAATAGAAATCTCAACCTAGGGGCATAATAATAATTTTTCCATACCATGCGTATAATACGTACTCATCGAAAAAATGCCATTCCAAAGTCCTTAACATACATTTCTAATCACCTTAAGGTAAGAAATGCTCGTATGCTAGCACATCCTACTGATTTCTATAAGTATTACATGCCTAAAATCCATATAGTTACTTATTAGGATGACGCGTACCTTTCTGAACTAGCTTTTCGATATATTAGTATTGAAATCAAGAGTTGAAACACGCCAAAAGGAGAGCTTACACCGCTTCATGTGCTTCCCACGTACGGTTGTCATGCATAATCGCCAGCCAGGTCAAGGTTCGATCCCCGTTGGACATAGATTTTTTCCAGATTTTTATTAGGCCGACACGTGTCATCTACTACAAACATGCGAGCCGCCTTTGAGTCCCGCTTGATTTTGATTTTCTTTTGGTTTATATTAGGCCGCCACATGTCCTTGCTATGAGTGCGTTCCTACTATCGATTCCGGCCGTATACACCTCTTTCAGTTTTTATCGATTATTTCTACGTGGACACGTGTATGTCTTTACCTGTTCACGCGCCTGGCTTCAAACCCTGGTGAAATCATCCTCAAGAATTTTCTATTGAATTTTGTAGTTGTGAAATGTGTCCCCTTCATATTGCTCTCTATTTATATATAAACGGCGCTCGTGAGCCTGTCGGTACCGAAGGTGATAGAAAAAAGCAAATCTTCATCCTATCCACTGATGCGGGCGTTGCCAAATATTCGTATCCTCCCTGTTTCTCCTAAAAAACTTGAATCAAAATGATTTCTCCATCCTACTTTTTCAAAAATTCCTCAAAATTTTCTCAAATTTTTCTTCGTCGATTGACGAAATTGAGTAATTCAAAACCCTAGAATGGTTCTCCTAAGACATTGAGTAATTCTTGTCGAAATTCAAACTTCAAAGGGTCGTTTGGAGCAAATTTCAATTTTCACTATTTTCTTTTATATTTTTAGTTAAATTCTCGGGATTTTTTTAAAGTAAATTTCTCTTCTATCTTATCTTGAAATTCGGTCTCTTAGACCCTAAATAAAATCTCATAAGTTTAGCTTTAAGGAAAATCAAGTTTTAAATTTTTCGTCGGGTTCGGATACTACAAAAATTTCCCTCCTTAAAATTTTTTGTCTTTGAAAGTTGCTTATGCTTGATTCTAAAAGGTCGGACATCCATCCACTACACATTCACATGTGGTTGATGCAACCATGCCACACCTTACCGCCCTCTTGATATCTCTTCCTTGAATTCTCTGTCCATGAAAATGTTTCCAACTCTTGAGGTGCGCTTAGAGCTATAGAGCTACCTCACTCTCTCTGTGATGCTTCACTACTCGAACATAACTACAATAAGATAGGTTCTATAGGCTCTAATTCAAGTGCATTTGTCCTATCTTCCTAGCATCACACAGTGCTTCTACATAAACTGAGTAAGTCTAGGCTATCTCAAGTCCTAGATCTCGTCCTTGAGACTTGCAATGAAGTGGTCAATCTTCATCATCTCTATCCTAACTAGCTCTGGCATAAATGTTTTAAGTCAGTTGGACATCAAATGTACTCATTGACTGTCTTACACTGATTATAGGAAGACTAACTAATTCTTCAGCCTGGCTACTACTAAGTAATACTTCATTAGGTGTCACCTTTGAGTTGGGACTACGTCACTAGTCCTTTAATGTCAAGTATTTTCAAGCTGCTCTTCTACTCAAGTGTGTCATGCCTCTCATTATGTACGTGACATATTGTACTAGATACCATATAGGTAGCTCAAATATTGTACGCCCATCTATCGCTTACAACCACGCTTCTATTGCACCATTGATCCTCGAACTTGATGTCACGTGACTGGAGAAGACCACTACCAACAACCAAACTTGTCACTTCGAGAACTTGGTGTACAACAGATGAGCTCATGATGCCATCATGTTGAGATTTATACCCTAAAGTCTTGTAATTAATTATTTAATTTATAATAATAATTTTAATTTTTTATCTACAAT